AAGCTCCGTCTGCCATGAGTGGGTCAGCTGACCTTCTTCCTTCCACCCGCAAGAAGCTCCATCCAAGTTGCACCAAATTCATGCCGAGTTAAGGAGCTGTTGCACCCGCCAAGTCACATGCGCAGCCCGGCAGTTCCATGTGTCATGAAATATGTTGAAAGCCTGAGATGGCCGAGGTGGATGGCTCAACCTGAACTGCTTGCTCCTACACTTGAATGAGGCTGCACTTACCAACTGCGCATGATCAGACGTTTTGGCCTAATCTCTTGTGCACGTGCAATAAAGCTGGAAAAGGGAAGGCGGCTATGCCCTCGTTTGCCATGGCTTAGACAAATCAGCAGATGGCCTCCCGCGACTCCACAAGTTCCGGCTCCGTTTCAAGGCTAAACCTGGGCGCCCCTGGAGCCCCTGTCAGTGTCTGGCTGGCTTAGGCGGCCAACCTCTTTTTGTGCAGTTGTTGTTTGGACTTGTCTTCCTTTTTGAGGGTACCCTTTCTTGGGTAGTCAGAAGGAACTGAAGGAAGACCAGTTCTTTGTGGAATCCTGCCCATTTTGAGGCAACCCCTTTTCCAATCACAGCTGCCCAAGGCTGTAGCAGCTGATTTGCAAGCGCCACACATCAAAGCAAAGCCGCACCGCACCCTTAAATAGACTCCTTGAAATTGGGCTTTGATCATTCGCAAGGGAGAAAGCCACATCAAGGGGCCGCACAAAGCTGGCAAATCTCTCCTCTTGGGATTCTCAGCGGTTGAACTCAGAGCCGGCTTCTTACTAACATCTTGTGAAGGCCAGTGCGTAATTGTCCTCTGGTCGAGGTGCGCGAATTGCAGCTCTGGCAGCACCTGGCCAGGAAACAAAACCGTGCTGCAATCGTCGGGCTGTTTGCTGCATTTGCGGCGGGCCTGTTCAAACTTGCAGCGGCAATGGCATGTGCAGCCACAACATGCCGCATGCTTTCCAACTGTACGCTTCTTCGCAATTCCAGATCGAACATCACACATGGAGCCAACATACTCTGCCTATCCTTTTTCCTGCTGTGGTCCACGCAAGGCGTGATGTTGAACTGGCCGCATGCTCCCAGCCGCTAGCCGGGCCCAGCTTCACCATTTGCGTGCTCAAGCACAGGTAATTTAATTCATGCCTTGGGTTCTCAAACGCTGGGACTGGTGTGCCACTTGACAACACAAAGACGCAGCCCATCAGGGCAAGTACACAGTTGAAGCAAAGAACCCGCCCAATGACTTTGCCTCAAACCGCATATATGCTGACACCATCCGTGCATGCTTTTGCCTCAGCAAATGCTATGAGTGACCCGTGCGATTCGCGATAGGAAAACCGGCCGCTTAGCTGATCGAAAGATCTGAAATCGAAAGGTCCAAATGCTTTCGCAGCTGTTGTCACAAGGATATGAAAAGGCAGCTGCATTGCTGCAGCCACTTAAAAAACCGGTGGGGGTGGCAATCAGGTTCGCTCATGAGAGGATTGTATGTGAGACAAATGGAGCTAGCCAAATCTCTCTCATCTATCGGTGCATGAAAATAAAGGTGCATATATGATATATCATAAATGAGTGTATTTTCATTTGTTTTGAGTAGCGAGTGCGGCCGTGGCAAATGTGTTGCCATCAGCATGCCCTGAGATCCTTGTGCGTCCCATCAGCGTCGTGCCAACATACTCTGCCTTTCCTTTTCGCTGCTGTGGTCCGCACAAACTGGCGTGTCAGGCAGCCCTTCCGCAAATCTCCCACCAAAGCATTGACAATCTTTTGCGGAGCAACAGCCCGCGGTTGTCTAGTCGAAGACCATGAGCACTGCCAACATGATTCAAAACACACATTGCTGGGCTTCTCACCTGCAGAAAAACAACACACAAATGCAGCCCATTAACCACCCTTCATATGTGCAAATGTACTGAAGCAAGAACCGCTCAATGATCCAACTCTTGCCGCTGGCCCCAGTTGCTGCCGTGTCCCGAAGTTCTTGTGGCATCAAACTGCATATATGCTGACACCATCTGTGCATGCATATGAGCCAGCACCAAAATCACTTGTCTGGGGGTGTATTGATCCCGTATCGCGTTTCAGTTGTTTTTCAGGTCTTGGGGTATCGTCTTGGGACGATCCGTATCGTTGTTCGACAAAAACCAAAAACAACATGTGCACGAAACACTCTTAAAGTAAATCACGGTCATTTTGAAGCTAACTCATTTCCCTTCGCAAATGCTATGAGTAGCCCGCGCGATGGAAAAGCGGGTCCGTTAGCTTCTCCAAAGCTTTGAAAGATCCAAATGCTTTCGCAGCTTTTGTCGCAAGGATATGAAAAGGCAGCTGCTTTGCTGCAGCCACTTAAGAAGCCGGTGTGGGTGGCAAACAACTTCGCTCATGAGGAGCATTGTATGTGGGACAAATGGAGCTAGCCAAATCTATAATCTATCGGTGCATGGAAATACAAGTGAATATGAGTGGAGTAGCGAGTGCGGCCGCGGCAGCTGTGTTGCCATCGGCGTGCCCTGAGATTTTTGTGCGTCCCATCAGCGTCGTGCCAACATACTCTGCCTTTCCTTTTCGCTGATGTGGTCCGCACAAACTGGCGTGACGTCGATGTGTAAGGCAGCCCTTCCGCAAATCTCCCACCAAAGCATTGACAACTTTTGCGGAGCAAAATTCGTGACATTGCAGGCCGCGGTTGTCTAGTCAAAGGCCAGGAATACCACCAATATGATTCAAAACACACATTGCAGGGCTTCTCAGCTGCAGAAAGACAACACACAAATGAAGCCCATTAACCACCATTCATATGTGCAAATGTACTGAAGCAAGAACCGCTCAATGATCCAACTCTTGCCGCTGGCCCCAGTTGCTGCCGTGTCCCGAAGTTCTTGTGGCATCAAACTGCATATATGCTGACACCAGCTGTGCATGCATATGAGCCAGCACCAAAATCACTTGTCTGGGGGTGTATTGATCCCGTATCGCATTTCAGTTGTTTTTCAGGTCTTGGGGTATCGTCTTGGGACGATCCGTATCGTTGTTCGACAAAAACCAAAAACAACATGTGCACGAAACACTCTTAAAGTAAATCACGGTCATTTTGAAGCTCACTCATATCCCTTCGCAAATGCTATGAGTAGCCCGCGCGATGGAAAAGCGGGTCCGTTAGCTTCTCCAAAGCTTTGAAAGATCCAAATGCTTTCGCAGCTTTTGTCGCAAGGATATGAAAAGGCAGCTGCTTTGCTGCAGCCACTTAAGAAGCCGGTGTGGGTGGCAAACAACTTCGCTCATGAGGAGCATTGTATGTGGGACAAATGGAGCTAGCCAAATCTATAATCTATCGGTGCATGGAAATACAAGTGAATATGAGTGGAGTAGCGAGTGCGGCCCCGGCAGCTGTGTTGCCATCGGCGTGCCCTGAGCTCCTTGTGCGTCCCATCAGCGTCGTGCCAACATACTCTGCCTTTCCTTTTCGCTGCTGTGGTCCGCGCAAGCTGTCGTGACGTCGATGTGGCCGCATGCTCTCAGTAGCTAGCCGGGCCCAGCTTCATGATTGCCAGCCCTCAAGCGCGGGTAATTGTGGAATTCATGCTTTGCGTTTCACTAGGCTTCTGAGGCAGCCCTTCTGCAAATCTCCCGCTGAAGCATTGACAACTTTGCGGAGCAACATTGGTGGTACTGCAGGCCGCGGCTGTTTAGTCAAAGACCAGGAATACCACCAACATGATTCAAAGCACACATTGATGGGCTTGTCACTGAAGCAAGAACCGCTCAATGATCCAACTCTTGCCGCTGGCCTGGCTTCCCTAAGTTCTGAAGGCATCAACCCGCAAAATGTGCTGACACCATCTGTGCATTCATATGCCTTTGCACATGCTATGAGTAGCCCGCGCGATGGAAAAACGGGTCGGTTAGCTGATCGAAAGCTTTGAAGGATCTAAAGGCCTTCGCAGCTTTTGTCGCAATGATGTGGAAATGAAGCTGCTTTGCTGCCACTTGCAAACTGGGAATTACAAACAACTTCGCTTGCCAGGGGCTTAGATGTGCGACAAACGGAGATAGGCACATTTCTGGTCCGAGTGCCCTGACAATCCGTGGTCGCTTCCCCAGTTCATCAGTTGAAATATGAGTGGATATGAGCGAGACTTAGCCCAAAGAATGAATTCAATGGTCAAGTGTCCGGGCACTCGCAGCTTAAAATGTGCAGCTCGCCCTCACACAACACCACATTTGGTGAAGTTCAAAAGTAACTTGCTATACGGACCAATGGACCTGTGACAGAATTCGGCCCGTTGAAAAGACTAATAGAAGCACAAGCACAAATGGCATGATTAGGTCAAGTGCTGGCCAACTGACCCAACGCTGGCAGAATGGCCAACTGGACTGCCAGTGCAAGTGGCGCAACGTGTCATCGGAGTAGCCGACACTGCTGAGACAAGTTTGCATCTGGTGCCTCTACTTCATCGGGAAGCTCCAGCTCGATGGTCTCACTCGCTGTATCCTCACACTCCTGGGGCCGGAGGCGTTCAATGAAGATCCGAAAGGCACCTGGTGCGCGCTCAACGGCTTGTAGAAATCGCTCCAGTTGTGCTTGGTGTATTTCACCAGGACCTACGGGGTTCGAGCAATGCCGGCAACTCGGTGCTCTTTGGAACAACTCCCGTCGCATCTTATTCCTTCTCATCGCTTCAACAGGCTTTTAGGCACGCCCTCAAAACAGTCTCCTTGCAACCGCGGTGCTAAGTGTGACGTTTGCCTTGTTCATGGCGCATACATGCACAGCAATGCTAACAAAGTAACTCATTTGGGCCAGCGGCCCAAATACGGCGGACTCTGGCAGGCATCTTCCAAATCACACGTTGCAAGCTGGAACTCAGTAACGTGATGACCTGCCAACTTGTGAGTAACAAAAGCATGTGACACCTCTGCCTCTGCCGTGCAATATCAATGATCCAGCATCCTCTCAACTTTTCAAGCCCTGCACAGCCGGCTGTTGACTGACAATTTGCCCTGCGATTGCTCTGATTGACACAGCTGTGGTATCACCCGGCCTGTCTGGTATGCTGGGGCTCCTCAAACACCAACCCACTGCCAAATGGCAAGCAACCATGCGAACTGGGAAGCATGGTCCGTGACATGGAACTCGAACTAACATCTCACGGCGCCAAATGCAAAATGGAAGCTTGGTCCGTGGCATGGGCATGCGTGATAGCCCTGAATGCAGAATTTCGCATGTCAGCTCCATTCGCCTCAACGCTTTCCCCAAGTGAGTGCAGTGTTCTTTGAAGCGCGGCTCACGGAAGCACTTGGCCGCGCAAACATGTTGCCCCCTAGATTGAGGACCCAGTGCCTGCAGAAACCAGGTTGGCTGCGCTCCCCTCACTTCTGGCGCCATGTCTGCTGAAACCGCTTCCCTGCCAAAAGATACCAATTGGTCTCTGACAACGCACCACGGCAAATACAAGCCGGCTTGCAAGGTCCACTTCTGATATGCCACACCTTGTTTGCGTTGCCCCAGGAAGCGAGACATGTTTGATGGCGCCGTTGTGGGATAGAAGCGAGACGGGCACTGTCAGACGTGAAGGTTTCACCTATGATTTGCGTGACTAAGCTCCACAGTTGCCCCCTCCTCCCGCCAAAGCCGAAAGTGCACAAAACGCAAACGAGGTGTACGTGGGTGCGTGGTCCCACTACAAACTTACACACAAGCGCAGAACATAATGTATACCAGATAAGGGCATGTACATACGCAAGCACGCTTTCTCACAAGAAACGCTGAACATCACACAGCGCACACTAATTCACAGACGGTAAATAACTCACACTGCCTTGAGATGAAAGGAATAGCGTGTGATGGCTTTCTACATTCTGGAGATACAATAAGAAAATAACCAGGCAAAGAGAGACAGAGAGAGCGAGAGAGCGACACTTACTACTCCCCTCCTTCCGGGTCTCTCACTCACTTCGCTCGTTTCCAACAGACAGGAGAAGGGAACAAAGACAAAGCCAACCGTGAATCCTCGCTCACAGGCTGAACACCTTGCGACTTGAAACGGTTGGAGGCGGAAGGAAATGATAGGATGAAGCCTGGCCCCACCTCTCATCTTGGAGATGCGTACAGGGACATTAGCACAAAGGACACACGTATGATATACACAAACGTGCGCAAGCCCGCACCCACACACCCACACGCCGGCATGGTCAGAGGAGACCTGCTAAAACGAACGCACGACCCGACAGTCGAAATGCCTTTCAACACACTTCCATACACACGTACATGCTGAAACCACACAATTATCTTTGCTTGCACGTGTTGCAAACTGCTCTTTGGCGAGCAACTAGGCGCCCAAATTCTGTTTAGAGGGATAAATCGAATGTTGCAGGCAGTGCAAACGTTAGGTGTGCTTGTCTAAACAAACATGCGCGCGCTGCTCCAACGCGCTCGATGCATGCTCGCAAACTCGTGGCTAGTACGCACGCTGCAACAATTGGATTCCGTGTTTGTTTCTTGCGAAACAATCTACGGATGCCCATGCACCGACTGATGCACCACGCATAAGGTCCGTCTCCTGGAGACACACCTGCTGCAGCTGATTTTGCAACCGCTGCAACTGCATCAGCTCCTGATAGACCTTCCGCGATGCAAAGCAAAAGGCACCCTAACCTCAAAGGTGTCAAACCAAACTTAAGGAGTTGAGTGGAGATCGCGATGCTTCAAATTCAAATCGGGGCGTGCTTCGATAGGCCAAGAAAGACTGCGTGCCGTGAAGCTGGCTGTTCATTGTCCAACCTGGTGCGTGTCCCTGCTCGGCATCTCCTCACAGGACAAGCTCCATTTGGCCTGAAACGTGCATGCATGGCACCTGTGTTGCCCTTGTGTCCTTCATGCGCTGCAGTTCCTGTTCGATCTTGTGGAGGTGGCTGAGCTGCTGGTGCACTTGCCTCAGGCCCACTCCAAAGTTTCAGAAAAGCCAGGTTTAGCGAAAAACCAGCGGACCATCTGCCACAGCCACTGCAGAACGCTTGTGCAAAACGAATTGCATCGCTGGGAGAAGTGAACCATAACCTGCTTATGACTTGCCAACCCTTTCTTCTCATCATGACTGTTGGCTAAGGCTGCGCCGAGAGGCTGCACATCCAGCGGTGAAGCCTTTGGAACAGATGCCTGGCGAACGCGCAATGGAATCCGCCGACCCCTTCTCCTCAAAGGGGGAGGCGCACGGGAAGGGTGGTTACAGCACAAGTCCAAGGTTGGTTGGTAAATAAGCATAGCCGAAGATTCAACATTATCAGCGTAAGCAATACCGTCATCGTAGCAGAGGGTGCGTAGCCATGGTTATCATCATGACTGTTGGTGATGCAGAAGATGCACGATGATGGTTATCGCCCATGATGACGATGACGATGATGATGATGCTGATGATGATGACGATGGTGATGATGACGATGATGACCACAATCATGGTGATGATGACATGCTCATCGTCATCACATCATCATCGTTGTGACCTGATTGGAGATGTATGATTATCATCATGACTGCTGGTGATGCAGAGGATGCACGATGATGGTTATCATCCATGATGATGAGGATGATGATGACGATAATGACCACCATCAGGGTGATGATGACATGCTCATCATCATCACATCATCATCGTTGTGACCTGATTGGAGATGCAGAGGATGCGTAGACATGATTATCATCATGAATGTTGGTGATGCAGAGGATGCACGATGATGGTTATCATCGATGATGGTAACGGTGATGATGACGAGGACGATGACGAGGATGATGCTGCTGATGATGACGATGATGATGATGATGACACGCTTGTCAGTATACCACATCATAATCGTTGTCGTCCTTATCTTGTTTATTTAGGTTTCAAGGGTAGCGTTAGACCCGATTGGAGATGCAGAGGGTGCGTAGTCATGATTATCATCATGACTGCTGGTGATGCAGAGGATGCACGATGATAGTTATCATCCATGGTGGTGACGGTGATGATGCGTAGACATGATTATCATCATGACTGTTGGTGATGCAGAGGATGCACGATGATGGGTATCATCGATGATGATAACGGTGATGATGACGATGACGATGACAATGATGATGATGACACGCTTGTCATTCTATCACATCATAATCGTTGTCGTCCTTATCTTTTTTAAGTACGCTTCAAGGGTAGCGTTAGACCCGATTGGAGATGCAGAGGGTGCATAGTCATGATTGTCATCATGACTGTTGGTGATGCAGAGGATGCACGATGATGGTTATCGTCCATGATGACAACGGTGATGATCACGATGATGACGATGATCACGATGATGATGATGATGACGATAACGACCACCATCATGGTGATGATGACACATCATCATCGTTGTGACCTGATTGGAGATGCAGAGGATGCGTAGACATGATGTTGTCGCCTTATCTTTTTGATATACGTTTCAAGGGTAGCGTTAGAGCCGATTGGAGATGCAAAGGGTGCGTAGTCATGATTCTCATCATGACTGTTGGTGATGCAGAGGATGCACGATGATGGTCATTGTCCATGATGACAACGGTGATGATGACGACGATGACGAGGATGATGCTCATAATGATGATGACGATAATGACCACCATCATGGAGATGATGACACGCTCATCATCATCACATCATCATCGTTGTGACCTGATTCGAGATGCAGAGGATGCGTAGACATGATTATCATCATGACTGTTGGTGATGCAGAGGATGCACGATGATGGTTATCATCGATGATGATAACGGTGATGATGACGAGGACGATGACGAGGATGATGCTGATGATGATGACGATGATGATGATGATGACGATAATGACCACCATCATGGAGATGATGACTTGCTCATCATCATCACATCATCATCGTTGTGACCTGATTGGAGATGCAGAGGATGCGTAGACATGATGTTGTCGTCCTTATCTTTTTTATATACGTTTCAAGGGTGACGTTAGAGCCGATTGGAGATGCAAAGGGTGCGTAGTCATGATTCACATCATGACTGTTGGTGATGCAGAGGAATGACGACGATGACGAGGATGATGCTCATAATGATGATGACGATAATGACCACCATCATGGAGATGATGACACGCTCAGAATCATCACATCATCATCGTTGTGACCTGATTCGAGATGCAGAGGATGCGTAGACATGATTATCATCATGACTGCTGGTGATGCAGAGGATGCACGATGATGGTTATCATCGATGATGATAACGGTGATGATGACGAGGACGATGACGAGGATGATGCTGATGATGATGACGATGATGATGATGATGACGATAATGACCACCATCATGGAGATGATGACTTGCTCATCATCATCACATCATCATCGTTGTGACCTGATTGGAGATGCAGAGGATGCGTAGACATGATGTTGTCGTCCTTATCTTTTTGATATACGTTTCAAGGGTAGCGTTAGAGCCGATTGGAGATGCAAAGGGTGCGTAGTCATGATTCTCATCATGACTGTTGGTGATGCAGAGGATGCACGATGATGGTCATTGTCCATGATGACAACGGTGATGATGACGACGATGACGAGGATGATGCTCATAATGATGATGACGATAATGACCACCATCATGGAGATGATGACACGCTCATCATCATCACACCATCATCGTTGTGACCTGATTCGAGATGCAGAGGATGCGTAGACATGATTATCATCATGACTGCTGGTGATGCAGAGGATGCACGATGATGGTTATCATCGATGATGATAGCGGTGATGATGACGAGGACGATGACGAGGATGATGCTGATGATGATAACAATGATGATGATGATGACGATAATGACCACCATCATGGAGATGATGACTTGCTCATCATCATCACATGATCATCGTTGTGACCTGATTGGAGACGCAGAGGATGCGTAGACATGATGTTGTCGTCCTTATCTTTTTTATATACGTTTCAAGGGTGACGTTAGAGCCGATTGGAGATGCAGAGGGTGCGTAGACATGATTATCATCATGACTGTTGGTGATGCAGAAGATGCACGATGATGGTTATCGTGCATGATGACAACGGTGATGATGACGATGACGATGATGATGATGCTGCTGATGATGACGATGATGATGATGACCATGATGACCACCATCATGGTGATGATGACATACTCATCGTCATCACATCATCATCGTTGTGACCTGATTGGAGATGTAGAGGATGCGTAGACATGATTATCATCATGACTGTTGGTGATGCAGAGGATGCACGATGATGGTTATCATCGATGATGATAACGGTGATGATGACGATGACGATGATGATGATGACACGCTTGTCATTGTATCACATCATAATCGTTGTCATCCTTATCTTTTTTATGTACGTTTCAAGGGTAGCGTTAGACCTGATTGGAGATGCAGAGGGTGCGTAGTCATGATTGTCATCATGACTGTTGGTGATGCAGAGGATGCACAATGATGGTTATCGTCCATGATGACAACGGTGATGATGACGATGATGACGATGATCACGATGATGACGATGATGATGATGATGACGATAATGACCACCATCATGGTGATGATGACATGCTCATCATCATCACATGATCGTCGTTGTGACCTGATTGGAGATGCAGAGGATGCGTAGACATGATGTTGTCGCCTTATCTTTTTGATATACGTTTCACGGGTAGCGTTAGAGCCGATTGGAGATGCAAAGGGTGCGTAGTCATGATTCACATCATGACTGTTGGTGATGCAGAGGATGCACGATGATGGTCATCGTCCATCATAACAACGGTGATGATGACGACGATGACGAGGATGATGCTGATGATGATGATGACGATAATGACCACCATCATGGAGATGATGACACGCTCATCATCATCACATCATCATCGTTGTGACCTGATTGGAGATGCAGAGGATGCGTAGACATGATTATCATCATGACTGTTGGTGATGCAGAGGATGCACGATGATGATTATCATCGATGATGATAACGGTGATGATGACGAGGACGATGATGAGGATGATGCTGATGATGATGACGATGATGATGATGATGACGATAATGACGGGGATGATGACTTGCTCATCATCATCACATCATCATCGTTGTGACCTGATTGGAGATGCAGAGGACGCGTAGACATGATGTTGTCGTCCTTATCTTTGTTATATACGTTTCAAGGGTGACGTTAGAGCCGATTGGAGATGCAGAGGGTGCGTAGACATGATTATCATCATGACTGTTGGTGATGCAGAAGATGCACGATGATGGTTATCGTGCATGATGACAACGGTGATGATGACGATGACGATGATGATGATGCTGCTGATGATGACGATGATGATGATGACGATGATGACCACCATCATGGTGATGATGACATACCCATCGTCATCAGATCATCATCGTTGTGACCTGATTGGAGATGTAAAGGATGCGTAGACATGATTATCATCATGACTGCTGGTGATGCAGAGGATGCACGATGATGGTTATCAGATTGGAGATGCAGAGGGTGCGTAGACATGATTCTCATCATGACTGTTGGGAAGCAGAGGATGCACGATGATGGTTATCGTCCATGATGACAACGGTGAGGAAGATGCTCTTCATCATCACAGCATCATCGTTGTGACCTGATTGGAGATGCAGAGGATGCGTAGACATGATTATCATCCTGACTGCTGGTGATGCAGAGGATGCACGATGAAGGTTATCATCGATGACGATCATCATCATCACATCATCATCGTTGTGACCTGATTGGAGATGCAGAGGATGCGTAGACATGATGTTGTCGTCCTTATCTTTTTTATATACGTTTCAAGGGTGACGTTAGAGCCGATTGGAGATGCAGAGGGTGCGTAGTCATGATTATCATCGTGACTGTTGGTGATGCAGAAGATGCACGATGATGGTTATCGTCCATGCTGACAACGGTGATGATGACGATGACGATGATGATGATGATGCTGATGATGATGACGATGATGATGATGCCGATGATGACCACCATCATGGTGCTGATGACATGCTCATCATCATCACATCATCATCGTTGTGACCTGATTGGAGATGCAGAGGATGCGTAGACATGATGTTGTCGTCCTTATCTTTTTTATAAACGTTTCAAATGTGACGTTAGAGCCGATTGGAGATGCAGAGGGTGCGTAGTCATGATTATCATCATGACTGTTGGTGATGCAGAAGATGCACGATGATGGTTATCGTCCATGCTGACAACGGTGATGCTGATGACGGTGATGATGATGCCGATGATGACCACCATCATGGTGATGATGACATGCTCATCGTCATCGCATCATCATCGTTGTGACCTGCTTGGAGATGTACAGGATGCGTAAACATGATTATCATCATGACTGCTGGCGATGCAGAGGATGCACGATGATGGTTATCATCCATGATGATGAGGATGATGACGATGATGACGATGATGATGATGACGATGATGATGACGATACTGACCACCATCATGGTGATGATGACATGCTCATCATCACCGCATCATCATCGTTGTGACCTGATTCGAGATGCAGAGGATGCGTAGACATGATTATCATCACGACTGCTGGTGATGCAGAGGATGCACGATGATGGTTATCATCGATGATGATAACGGTGATGATGACGAGGACGATGACGAGGATGATGCTGATGATGATGACGATGATGATGATGCCGATGATGATCACCATCATGGTGATGATGACATGCTCCTATGCGTAGACATGATTATCATCATGACTGCTGGCGATGCAGAGGATGCACGATGATGGTTATCATCCATGATGATGACGATGATGATGGCGATGACGCTGGCGATGCTGACGATGATGCTGCTGACGATGATGATGACGATGACGATGATGATGACGATACTGGCCACCATCATGGTGATGATGACATGCTCGTCATCACCACATCATCCTCGTTGTGACCTGATTCGAGATGCGGAGGATGCGTAGACATGATTATCATCATGACCCTTGGTGATGCAGAGGATGCACGATGATGGTTATCATCGATGATGATAACGGTGATGATGCTGATGATGATGACGATGATGATGATGATGACACGCTTGTCAGTATATCACATCATGACCGTTATCGTCCTTATCTTTCATGTACATTTCAAGGGTAGCGTTAGCGGATTGGAGATGCAGAGGGTGCGTAGTCATGATTATCATCATGACTGCTGGTGATGCACAGGATGCACGATGATGGTTATCATCCATGATGATGACGATGATGATGACGATGATGATGACGATGATGACGATGATGACGATGACAACAATGACCACCATCATGGTGATGATGACATGCTCATCATCATCACAGCATCATCGTTGTGACCTGATTGGAGATGCAGAGGATGCGTAGACATGATTATCATCATGACTGCTGGTGATGCAGAGGACGCACGATGATGGTTATCATCCATGATGATGACGACGATGATCACGATGACGATGACGATCATGACGATCATGATGATTACAATGATGATGATGATGTTGACGATCATGACCATCTCAGTTCATCATCATCATCATCATCATCACTGTGCTCATCATGAAGAAGATGCGTGGACATGATTATCATGATGCCTGCTGGTGATGCTGAGGATGCGTCATGATGATTATCATGTCAGCTCAGCATCATCATCATCATCATCATCAAAGCGGTGCATTTTCACGCGAAAGCAAAGCAAAAATGCACCGCACCCTGGCTACAACAGGGGACCCATCGCGGCCCCGACTTGCGGCGAGAAAACTGGTTGGCTTGCGGGGTGACCGGCGATGAGCCTCTACTGCAAACGCAACGTCACGGCACATGCTCCCAGCAGCAGCAGAATTGTAGGCACTTACAGCGGCGCATTTTCTTACCAGATTATTACAAAAATGCACCAAGCCAAGGAAAGAAAGCGATCGCTCCAGAATGGGCGCAGGTTCTATGGAAGCGTGCCAATCAAAGCGCATTATCACGATGACTGCTGGTGATGCTAAGGATGCGTCATGATGATTATCATGTCAGTTTATCATCATCATCATCATCCTCATCATCATAAAAGCGGTGCATTTTCACGCGAAAGAAAAGCAATCATGCACCGCACCCTGGCTTCAAGAGGGGACCCATCGCGGCCTCATTTTGAAGCGGCCCCGTTCCATTCCCAAACTGGTTTGGGGTCGGCGGCACTGGGCGGCAGCCCTTAAATATCGATAGTAATCAAAATGCCCTTAGGAGTTGACCATCGCCCCCTCCTAAGGACTTCAAATCGCAGTTAAACAATGTTAATTGAGCATCAAATCACAGCGAATCCGGCCCTGGCTAGCCACGAACAGTGGATGCTGCACCCCATGTGAATCACTGGCAACATCCAATCGCACGGTGGGTGTGTATGGCGCAACCCAAACAGTTTGTTGCATCCCGTGGGCCGCAGTTTCGGGGAGCGAAGCAAACCAAGGAGTGGACGAGCTTCATAGTTCATGGGAGCAACACCAACAAGTTCCTCGCCCTCGCGTAAGCGGCGCACGGGTGACCATTGAAACTCTTCCAGCTAGTCCCCCCGCAAGGGGGCCAGAGAGTGTGAATTACAAGCAGCGAGCGCAACAATTGCCACTCACGGCCGAGGCGGAAGTATGATCATGAAGATGTCATGTGACTGGATGATCAACCGCAGCGAAACCACTCCCGCGGTGTAAAATGCCCCAACCATTGGGGCCCATGTTTGGGCCATAGCCATCTTCCAAACAGAACGTTGAAAGTTTGAAGCGCAATGTGGCGGCTTTCACATTGTGTCTGCTGGTTGAGCTGGTTGCATGAGTCTTGCAAAGGCGCACGCCCCCTCCCCACGCCCAATTCTGCTTTGGCCTGAGCTTCCGGCAGCCTTCAGGGATGCAGGCGACCACAACAGTTGATTGGACCTCCTGTTGTATTCTATGGGCCGTCAACGCCATGTCACGGAATGAGTCAAAACGGAACTGGTCTACATTCCTCTCTCCCGCCCTCTCGCTGTCGCGCAATCACTTTTCACGAACATGCATCGCTTTCGTTTAAAGCGTGTGCACATTTGCACAGCCTCATTGGCCGAGCAGGCGACTCTGTCAGCCACCAGGGCCTTTGCAAGGGCAAAAGCTGACAGTTCTCGCAGGCCCCTCAGAACGCAACGTCCACAACCCCCCTCTCGCAACATCTACAATCAGGCTCTGCACGTTGTTTCTTTATTCGTACGGTGGTGAGCCTTCTTAAGCCTGTTGGAGCTTGTTCGAGCTTTGTTGATTTGCTTCTGCTGTAATATGCCAACTGCTTGTTGCAACATATTGGTTTCTTCCGTCCACTGCTGTGCAACATGCTCAAACCTCAAGCTTGTTCCCGCAACCAATGTTGACATTGTCACTCGTCAGGGTTAACATCGGATTAATAAAGCCATGGCAATAAACCGGCCCCCACAGGACCCCCCCCAATAATACACCATTTGATAAACTGGAATTCACATAAATAGCCAAACAAGCAAACAAACACATGGAATTAACCCGACCCCACACAAACGACCCCAAATTCAGAAAGCCTCACCAAAATCAAAAGTTGAAATCCCTAAGAATCCCTGGTGATGCAGCTGGTCTCATTTTGTCCACGCTGCTGCAGCTAAACCTTGCTGACATGTGCTTTCCATTTGCTTTGTGATGCCAAGAAAAGCTGCCGCCAGCCTGGTACTAATAACAGCACAGCCACGTTCCATTGCCAAGCCAGCACAAACATCAGCCAGAACTCCATGAAATCCAAAAATGCTTGGCCTTCTGAAAGTGCAATTTCTTTATTAAATCTCTTGCCAAAAGTGATGGTTTGTTAGAAGGCCACATGAGGTATCCCCGCCTGAGTGCCCAGTCAATTCAAAATTCCGGCAATACTGAATCAAATGGAAACTCATATCTCCAACCATACTAAATCAAATAAGTGGAAGCTCAAATCAAATTCAGAAGGAAGCTCAAGCAATGCTAAGTGAAATTGAAACAAGGACCGAAGCTCCTTTTCGAATTCAGCTGGAGCTCTGGGATCCTCATTCCCAATTCAAAAGTAGTATTGCCCACTACTAAAGTAGCATGCCCAATACTAAAGTAGACCACCCAGATTATTTCAGTGCCAGGTTTTTGTTTTTGAGCCGAAACACCTTCTCGACCTTCTCCCTGGGGGGGGGGTTATTCATCCGGTGTCAACATGACAGGAGACTGTGGAGACATGTCGTGCGTAGTGATTAGTGACATCGATCTGGGCACTGCATGCTGCCGTTGATGTATTGGATGGATGGAACATTCTATGGCACTATTATCTCTGCCGGTAATGCAATGCCACAGCAGGGCACATCTTTGAAAGAACGCCTGTTGGTTGTTCCCATCTTTAAGCTTGTGTGGCCCTGCGCTCCGGGGAATGAGCACGTGCATGTGTTTGGCGCTCATGCTTCCACGTTCTGGTTTCCCAAGTTAGAGGCCTTTTACGGGCGTGCACTCTTGCTCCGAGTTCGCAAACAGCCCTTGAAGTTGAACACACTAGGCCTAGTGTATCATACGAGCACGGTGTGCTCAAAGCATACGTGCCTCGCATTTCGGGCTACGCCTGATTTGAGCTGCCGCACCGAGTCGCGACGACTGGAGGCCACAGCGGCTCCTAAGAACGGGCTCTCTGAATTTGCTGGGGCACGGCCAGACACATTCTTTGACGTGGAACGGCTACCTAGAGTTTTACCTTTCCAAGAGAGTTGTATGTTGTATAGGACTTTGTTCTCTCAACAAGCATTCCCATGAACGCCTGTGCCATCGACGACTGTGGTTCGTCCTGGTCAGCTGGCACATCCCTAAGCCTTGGCACAATCTCGCACACAAGTTGTCGAGCACCGTGTAAAGCTCGAAAAATGGAAAACCCATGCCCCACGCATAGGAAATAGGCATTGTGACTTTGTCGGAATTTGATGACCCCCTTCCCGGCCAACTCCTGCTTCAGGTCGTCCAGGCATTGTTTTCAGCTGCAAGCGTTTCTATGGCGCATCGTGCAGTCAAACTCACCCCTGCCATCACATCCAAAGGTCCGATCTGGTCAGATACTGCTTGTATCAACCAGTAAATGCAGCTGAGCAACGCAGCTGGCACCTCACAGGCTGAGACGCACAAACGGGAACACACTGCCATGCGCATATGAAGACTTCAGCTGCGCGTGCTTCAAGCGCATTTGCACATTGCCTGTGGCCATACCTAGTTTGAGCAAGCTGCCTGGTTCTGCGACAGCGACTGCAAGAGCTGCAGCTGACTCCGCTGCATCTCCAGCATCTGTTGCCTGAGCTGATCGTTGGTATGGCTCACATAAGGCGCTTCTCCAATCATCAGCGTCAAACCGCCAGCAGCAGCAGCAGCAGCAGCAGCAGCAGCAGCAGCATCACAAGCAGCAGCATCACAAGCAGCATCACAAGCACCACCACAACCGACACAACCATAAACCACTATCAACGCTGCTGCCATCTTCTGCAAGATGCAGAGCAGAAGGAAGACATTGAGGCCAACAAAACTTGCATACTGATGTGCTCGCTACGCCCGTATTCTGAACCTACCCGCACACATGCAACTGAAGCTGCAAGCCAAAGCGGCAAAAGAGATTGGATGCCATCCGTCTGCTGTCTCGGCCTTGCATCTCAAACAAAGTCTCACACTACGTCCGCTTGCTCAGCTAGACCCGCGGTTCACATGTTTGTGCACCGGCACGTCCTTTCTGCAATTGTTGGCCCACAGTTCTTCTTGCCCAAAGGCGAACATGGCGAACATCATGCTTGAGAGGCTTGAGCGAACAAAAAGCGGGGAAAGGAGCGGGGAGATCTAGTTTCCTCGTGGTCTGTGGCTAGGCTGACTGCCCCTGGTTCTCCGGCCCAATGTCTTCCACCAGCTGCCAGCTCCTGACCATGCGCATTGGCTGGCCTCCCTTCTGCCAGAGTTTTGGTTCGTGTCCTGGTGCTGTGTTGCATCAGCAGCTGCGGGCTAGGCCTTAGTGCTTGTTCCAAGCCCTCCTGGCACAAAAATTATCTCCCCCCAAAATTGGCCGACATCCACATCCTCCTGAAGCGACCCTATCACGATGCGCGAGTCATATTTCTATAGGCCGCAGCTCAGGCGATGGAGCTGCAAGCCGCACGCGCTGCCTGAACTGACAGACGCCCAAAGAGCCCCTAAACCCTAACACTAGACACCCACAGAGCCCGGGCAGTTTGAAGGCTTGCCTCATGTCCCTCACTCACCTACAACTCCAGCTTGGACCAAGAGGCTGAGCTGCGGGAAGCGGAGGGCTTGACCTCAACGGGAGAAGTTTTTCGAAGCGTCACTAAGGCGGAGGTTGGAGAAAACCAGCGGGTCACCTTGCAAAACCATCTCTGGGCACGCAGAATCAACAGCTCATGTTGCAGTGGGACATGCAGAGGGCTAAACAATCAACCTCGATGAGGTTGAGGTTCCTGAGCAAAACTACGTGCTGCTGCTCCGTCAGGTAATGCCGCACTGGGCTGTCAGTGCTGCCGCTGGGTGATGCAAATTTGCGCTCTATTCATGCTTCACTACTTTAGGCCTCACTCATCCATGGTTCTAAGCATCCATCTGCCCGCCAATAAGGAAAGTCGTGAGGAGCCGCAACAGTTCATGCAGCACATACGGGGAGAACAAAACCGGAAACCATTGAAGCAACCTGCTTGATAATCAGTTCATGGACGGCCTGTTGCCAAAAATATCAAGCACATATCTCTTGGATACAACCTAACACCCTGAAACGCTGCATCCAGCCTGGCGTCACCACACCTATGCAGTTTCAAGGCACCTTGCTCAGCCAAGGCGCTCAACGCGAATTGGCGACGGCCTCAAAGTGTCACTTCAAGATTCAGACTTGACACATCTGGACATGTCGTCAGTGGACTGTGCACACCGACCATGCTGAATAGATGTGCCGCCGGTGTTGGTGCAACTTTCAGGACGTAACTGTCATCTCCTAGCATAGTGCCTATGCTGAATACTAAGCACCGTCAAATGAAGTAGTGAAGCCTTTGGACTTCCAGCTTTGGGCCTTTCGAACATCAAGGCGTAACAAATTTACACACGCTCGTACTTGCACCACGCTCTTGCCTCAGCCTGGCGTTTTCAATAGCGTTATTCAAGACAATGTGGCATTACCAGTGTGCTACGGGCCGCAACAAAATGCGGATTGAGCACTGACGTGTGTGTTCCTTCGCATTGGGCTTTAGAACCAACATCTAAATCTGGCATGAATGTTGCCGGAATGGGAGCTCAGTAGTGCCCAAACGTTGGCATTTCGGCCAACGAGTGCCTGAGCCTTGGCTTGAATTGGAGTTCAGTGGTGGCATGCGCTTTCACAAATGCCCTTGGTGCTTTGACACGGACACATGAGAACATCTGGAGCGTCAAAAATATGCCTACGCCCGTTAAGGCCCTTACATCTTACATGACTTTCCAAGAATAACACCTTTGCCTACAAAGATCTGCCACTCGCAGCCACTGAACCTGGGGCAGAGGCGAAGCCATCGCCTGCGCCATGTCGCGGTGCCTCAGAAAATTCCATCCCTCCCCCAACCGAATACACCACAGGCCACTGCAACATGCACATGCAACATGATCAGCATGCTTGACGGCCGAGGCTGGCTTCTAGATGCTTGCTAGGCCATCTATGCTCCTTCACATCTGCACGACTGCATGACTGTGATGTGACGTATTGCAGGGCAAGCCCTAGTTTGGCCAAGATGCTGCAGGTTGCCAAACCTGGTTGACTGCGGGCTAGGCCTCAGAAAAAGTGCTAACTCCCGCAAGTGATCTTGCATCTGGCAATGCGTGGCAGTTCTCCCACACCTGCTGGCATTACCAAAGCTGCCTGCATCGCCTAGCCTTGCCAATCAGGGGATCCATGATCTGAAATGTGATCAGCGATTCCTGCACCTTGTCTGAAGACAGAATGCCTGTCAGTGCAACATCCACCAGCTTCGCTAGGAGGCAAGCGAGGGGTTTATTAACAAAGAGTTCTAAATATTATTGTACAATTCAAGCGAATACAGCATGTATATTTAAATGGACAGAGAAAACATGAATTGATTATGTAACTAACATTTTAGTGAAGCAAGTTTGTTTCCTTTAGTAGAATGGTATGATTCGGTATGATAGAATTTGCTGTTGCTTTGAACTATCCTCTTGACGCCATTCGCTGTCCTCGCGCTGGGTCATCGGCCAGAACGGCATGGTTTGCAAGCTTGGCAGCCCACAACCAGTAAGCATAAGACCCGTTGAAGCTTTGAAGTTGCATGCCGAGGCGCTGCACATCATGAAACAAGGCTTGCGGGTTGGGCCTTGGCAACATGCAATAGCCAGCATTTGCCCTCCTTACCCTGTCTCTTTGCAAATCTTGTGGCTGTTTGACCTCTTGTGGCACCCATGCCCAAGCTAATTGTGCTCATGCAGCACTCTTTCACTTCACCCGTGCTCAGCATGCTGTTTTATGCTGGATCGCTCGGCAAGGCTGGGGCTGAGGCGAAGCCAGCGCTTGCGCTGCCATGTCCCCGTGCCTCAGGAAATGCCAAAGCTCCGGATATCGCTGGATAGCCCGCCCGCCAATGCAACATGCAGCCACACTTCGCGTGCTGCTAGGCCACCTATGCTCTGTCACATCTGCACGGCTGCATGACTGTGATGTGACGTATTGCGGGGCAAGCCCTAGTTTGGCCAAGATGCTGCAGGTTGCCAAACCTGGTTGACTGCGGGCTAGGCCTCAGAAAAAGTGCTAACTCCCGCAAGTGATCTGGCATCTGGCAATTCATGGCAGTTCTTCCATACATGCTGGTATCACCAAAGTGGCCCGCACCGCCATCCCCCTTTTGCATAGCCTTGCTACTCAGTGCAGGTGAAGGGGATCCACCATCCAATTATCTAGCGATTCCTGCACTTGTCCGAAGACAGAATGCCTGCCAGTGCCAAATCCACTACAAGCGCTGCACTCACGCTGGGTCGTTCGCTGTGGGGAAGGTTGGGGTTTCGCCGCTTCGCCTAGCCTCGGGCAAACATTGGCAGAACTTGCCCCGCGTGGAATGGTTTGCAAGCTTGGCAGCCCACAACCAGTAAGCATAAGACCCGTTGAAGCTTTGAAGTTGCATGCCGAGGCGCTGCACATCATGAAACAAGGCTTGCGGGTTGGGCCTTGGCAACATGCAATAGCCAGCATTTGCCCTCCTTACCCTGTCTCTTTGCAAATCTTGTGGCTGTTTGACCTCTTGTGGCACCCATGCCCAAGCTAATTGTGCTCATGCAGCACTCTTTCACTTCACCCGTGCTCAGCATGCTGTTTTATGCTGGATCGCTCGGCAAGGCTGGGGCTGAGGCGAAGCCAGCGCTTGCGCTGCCATGTCCCCGTGCCTCAGGAAATGCCAAAGCTCCGGATATCGCTGGATAGCCCGCCCGCCAATGCAACATGCAGCCACACTTCGCGTGCTGCTAGGCCACCTATGCTCTGTCACATCTGCACGGCTGCATGACTGTGATGTGACGTATTGCGGGGCAAGCCCTAGTTTGGCCAAGATGCTGCAGGTTGCCAAACCTGGTTGACTGCGGGCTAGGCCTCAGAAAAAGTGCTAACTCCCGCAAGTGATCTGGCATCTGGCAATTCATGGCAGTTCTTCCATACATGCTGGTATCACCAAAGTGGCCCGCACCGCCATCCCCCTTTTGCATAGCCTTGCTACTCAGTGCAGGTGAAGGGGATCCACCATCCAATTATCTAGCGATTCCTGCACTTGTCCGAAGACAGAATGCCTGCCAGTGCCAAATCCACTACAAGCGCTGCACTCACGCTGGGTCGTTGGCTGTGGGGAAGGTTGGGGTTTCGCCGCTTCGCCTAGCCTCGGGCAAACATTGGCAGAACTTGCCCCGCGTGGAATGGTTTGCAAGCTTGACAGCCCACAACCAGTAAGCATAAGACCCGTTGAAGCTTTGAAGTTGCATGCCGAGGCGCTGCACATCATGAAACAAGGCTTGCGGGTTGGGCCTTGGCAACATGCAATAGCCAGCATTTGCCCTCCTTACCCTGTCTCTTTGCAAATCTTGTGGCTGTTTGACCTCTTGCGGCAGCTCATGCAGCACTCTTTCACTTCACCCGTGCTCAGCATGCTGTTTTATGCTGGGTCGCGCGGCAAGGCTGGGGCTGAGGCGAAGCCGGCGCTTGCGCTGCCATGTCCCCGTGCCTCAGGAAATGCCACAGCTCCGGATATCGCTGGATAGCCCGCCCGCCAATGCAACATGCAGCCACACTTCGCGTGCTGCTAGGCCATCTATGCTCTGTCACATCTGCACGACTGCATGACTGTGATGTGACCTATTCCATGGCAAGCCCTAGTTTGGCCAAGATGCTGCAGGTTGCCAAACCTGGTTGACTG